GGTTTCCCTGGGCTTTTCCCGGTTTCTCTGGAAGGCTTCGGTCAGTGTTCCCGGTTTCCCTGGGCTTTTCCCGGTTTCTCTGGAAGGTTTCGGTCAGTGTTCCCGGTTTTCCCTGGGCTTTTCCCGGTTTCTCTGGAAGGCTTCGGTCAGTGTTCCCGGTTTCCTGCTGGCAGGTGATGAAGAAGAACAAGGCGGAGCGGGACGAGGACAGCCTGCACCACACGGACATGTTCGACAGCCACATGCTCTGGTTCCTCATGCACCACCTGCGCCAGCGCCGCCACCACCGGGTACGGCCGCTGCCAGCCCTGATCCCAAATCCGCCTTTTCCCTGATCCCAAAATCCGGCCTTTTCCCTGATCCCCAAAATCCGGCCTTTTCCTTGATCCAAAATCCCGCCTTTTCCCTGATCCCAATCCCGCCTTTTCCTTGAATCCCAAATCCTGCCTTTTCCCTGAATCCCAATCCCGCCTTTTCCCTGATCCCAAAATCCGGCCTTTTCCCTGATCCCAAAATCCGGCCTTTTCCCTGATCCCCAATCCCGCCTTTTCCCTGATCCCCAATCCCGCCTTTTCCCTGATCCCAAAATCCGCCTTTTCCCTGATCCCAAAATCNGCCTTTTCCCTGATCCCAAAATCCGCCTTTTCCCTGATCCCAAAATCCGCCTTTTCCCTGATCCCAAAATCCGCCTTTTCCCTGATCCCAATCCTGCCTTTTCCCTGAATCCCAAATCCCGCCTTTTCTCTGAATCCCAATCCCGCCTTTTCCTTGATCCAAATCCTGCCTTTTCCCTGATCCCCAAATCCGCCTTTTCCCTGATCCCAAAAATCCCGCCTTTTCCCTGATCCCAATCCCGCCTTTTCCCTGAATCCCAAATCCCGCCTTTTCCCTGATTTCCCCAAAATCCCCTGCCTTTTCCCTGATCCCAATCCCGCCTTTTCCCTGATCCCAATCCCGCCTTTTCCCTGATTTCCCAATCCCTGCCTTTTCCTCCATTTCCCCAAAATTCCCTGCCTTTTCCCTGATTTCCCCAAAATCCCCTGCCTTTTTCCTGGATTTTTCCCACGTTTTCCTGCTTTTTTCTTGCTTTTTTCCTGCTTTTGTCCTGCTTTGCTGTGACTTTTTCCTGCTTTTTTCCGCATTTTTCCTGTTTTTTCTCCTGCCTTTTTCCTGCTTTTTTCCTGGTTTTCCCTGCTTTTTTCTTGCTTTTCCTGCTTTTCCTCACCCCGTTCCTCACCCCAAATCCCCGTTTCTCACCCCAAATCCCCTCTCCTGACCCCAAATCCCCTCTCCTGACCCCAAATCCCCTCTCCTGACCCCAAATCCCCGTTTCTCACCCCAAATCCCCGTTTCTCACCCCAAACCCCCTCTCCTGACCCCAAACCCCCGTTTCTCCTGACCCCAAACCCCCGTTTCTCCTGACCCCAAATCCCCGTTTTTCACCCCAAATCCCCGTTTCTCACCCCAAATCCCCATTTCTCACCCCAAATCCCCGTTCCTCACCCCAAATCCCCGTTTTTCACCCCAAATCCCCGTTCCTCACCCCAAATCCCCGTTTTTCACCCCAAATCCCCATTTTTCACCCCAAATCCCCATTTTTCACCCCAAACCCCCGTTCCTCACCCCAAACCCCCGTTTCTCCTGACCCCAAATCCCCGTTTCTCACCCCAAACCCCTCTCCTGACCCCAAATCCCTGTTTCTCACCCCAAACCCCTCTCCTGACCCCAAATCCCCGTTTCTCACCCCAAACCCCCGTTTCTCACCCCAAATCCCCGTTTCTCACCCCAAACCCTCTCTCCTCACCCCAAATCCCCGTTTCTCCTGACCCCAAATCCCCATTTTTCACCCCAAATCCCCTCTCCTGACCCCAAATCCCCATTTTTCACCCCAAATCCCCGTTTCTCACCCCAAACCCGCTCCTCTCCCAGCGCCGCCGGGACCCCGGGGCCGAGTCCCCCTCGGACGACTCCGGGAGTTCCTCGGACACGTCGGACGATGAGGAGGAGGGGCCGGACCGGGTGCAGTGCATGCCCTCGTGAGCCCCAAAAACCCCAAAACCCCCCAAAAAACCCCAAACGGGGGGCCCACCCCACTAACACTCGGAGCTTTGTATTGACCCTGTTCAGCCCCCCCAAATTCCCGGGTTTCCCCCTTTTTTGGGGTCCCCTCCCCCTTTTTTCCCATTTTTTTCCCTTTTTTTCCCATTTTTTCCCCTTTTTTTCCCATTTTTCCCTCTTTTTTCCCCATTTTGGGGGTCTCCTCCCCCTTTTTTCCCCTCAATTTGGGGAATATTTGGGGGGGGTTCTTTACTGCCTCCCCCTCCCCGTGTTTTTGGGACCCCTCCCCCACCCTTAAGCACCCCCTTTTTGGGGAAGGGGGGGTCCCACCCCTTTTTCCTCATTTTCCCCCTTTTTTCCTCATTTTTCCCTTTTTTCCTCATTTTGTCCTCAATTTTCCCACACTTTCCCCACTTTTCCCTTCAATTTTCCCACTTTTTCCCCTTCCCCCCTTTTTTTTCTCCTTTTTTTCCTCCGTTTTCCCCCTTTTTCTTTTTTCCCCATTTTTCTTCCCCCCTTTTTTCCATTTTCCCCCCTTTTTTCCCCATTTTCCCCCTCTCTTCCCCCCATTTTTTTCTCTTTATTTTCTCCCTTTTCCCCCCACTTTCCCCCATTTCCCCCCGTTTTTTCCCCCCTCTTATTTCCCCCAATTTCCCCCCACTTTCACCCTTTTTTTTCCCCATTTTTTCCCATTTTCCCCCATTTTTCCCCCATTTCCAGGGGGCTTTCCTCCCTCTGTACATAGCCGTGATTTGCACTTGGTTTGGCCCCTTTTTACCCCCCAAAACCCCCAAAAACCCCTTTAATTTCCCATTTCTTTTCACGGGGGAGGGGTTCAGGGGGGTTTTTTTGGGGGAAAACCCCCAAAATTTCCTGTTTAGAGGCCTAATTTTATATTGTATTAAAAACCAAAAGGGCCCGGGAGTTCTCCCTGGCAGAGCTGTAAAAGTTGGGATATATATTATATATAAATGCAATAAAATGACTCAACGAGCCCCAGACTCCCCAAAATTTCTCTCCCACCCCCCCCAAACCTTCCCCTTTTTATTTTTTTTTTTTTTTGCCCGTTTTCCCCGGATTTTCCCCCAAAAACCCTGGCACAGAGCAGCTTTTTTCCATCTTTATCGATACACAGTCAGCACGGTCTGGGGGAGGGGATTTGGGGAGGGGATTTGGGGTGGGGGAGGGAATTTGGGGTGGGGGGACCCCCAAAACCCATCCCGACGTTGGGGGGGGTCAAAAATATCAATTTTTAACCAAATCCAGCGTTTTTCACAGAGATTTGGGGACAATAAATAAAGGAAGGGGGAGGGGAAGGGATAAATTTTGGAGGGGGGGGCACAGGGAGAAATTTTGGGGGCACAAAAATAAATTTTGGGGGCACAAAAATAAATTTTGGGGGGTTTTGGGGACACACGAGCCGGCGGCTGCTGCGGGTTTTAGCTTTTATTAAATAAAATATATTAATTAATTAATTAACATTTAATTAACTCTGCTGCCCCTCCCCCCATCCCCTTGGGTTAGTAACTAAACCTGAACCCCAAAAAATCCCCTCCCCCCCCCCAGCCCAGTTTGGTACTGGGAGAACCCCCCCAAAAAAAATTCATTAAAAATTGGGATTTTGGGGGGTTTTGCCCCAGTTTTTGGGGTCGTTTTTGCTGCCTATCGCCCAAAAATGGGAATTTTGGGGGTTTTTTTCCTCCATTTTGGGATTTTTTATCAATTTTGGGGGGGTCACTGCTTTATGCCCCCCCAAAAATGGGAATTTTGGGGTTTTTTTTCCTCCATTTTGGGGTTTTTTTCCTCAATTTGGGAGGTTTTCCCCCAATTTTGGGGGGTCACCACTTCCTGCCTCCCCAAAAATGGGAATTTTTGGGGTTTTTTTTCCTCCCTTTTCAGAGGTCACCACTTTCTGTCCCCCCAAAAAAGGGATTTTGGGGTGGATCACCACTTCGTGCCCCCCAAAAATGGGAATTTTGGGTTTTTTCCCCAAATTTTGGGGGGCTCACCACTTTGTGCCCCCCAAAAATGGGAATTTTGGGTTTTTTCCCCAAATTTTGGGGGGCTCACCACTTTGTGCCCCCCAAAAATGGGAATTTTGAGTTTTTCCCCAATTTTGGGGTGTCACCACTTCCTGCCCACCCAAAAATGGGAATTTTGGGGTTTTTTCCCCAATTTTGGGGAGAGTCACCACTTTGTGCCCCCCAAAAATGGGAATTTTGGGGTTTTTTCCCCAAATTTTGGGGGGTCACCACTTCCTGCCCACCCAAAAATGGGAATTTTGGGGTTTTTTCCCCAAATTTTGGGGGGTCACCACTTCCTGCCCACCCAAAAATGGGAATTTTGGGGTTTTTTCCCCCAATTTTGGGGGTTTCCACAAAAATGGGAATTTTGGGTTTTTTCCCCCAATTTTGGGGGGTCACCTCTCGCTGTCCCCCCTCTTTTTGTCACCTCCTCGTCCCCTCCTGCCCCTCCCGGGGGGGTCCCAGACCCCTCCCCAAAATCCGCTCCGACCTCGGCGCCCTCCCGACCTCCCCCTGCCCTCCTCTGCCCCCCCCAAAATTTGGGGGTGCTCGTGACCCCCCCAAAATTGGGGTCGGGGGTCCCGATGCCTCTGACCCCCCAAAATTGGGGTGAGGGGGGTCTCAGGAATTCTGACCCCCCCCAAATTTGGGGTGTGTGGGGGGGGTCTCCGTCCCTGTCACGGACCCCCCCTCAAATTGGGGACCCCAAAATTTAAGGTTGGGGGGGGCTGAGACCCCCAAATTGGGGTGGGGGTCTCCCTGTGACCCCAAAATTTAATCGGGGGGGTTTTCTAAATAATTCTGACACCCCCAAATTGCGGTGGGGAGTCCCTGTGACCCCAAAATTTAGGGTGGGGGGGGGTCTGAGACCCCCAAATTGGGGTGGGGGTCTCCCTGTGACCCCAAAATTTAATCGGGGGGGTTTTCTAAATAATTCGGACCCCCCCGAATTGGGGTGGGGGTTCCTGTGACCCCAAAATTCAAGGTGGGGGGGGGTCCCCAACACTTTTAACCCCCCAAATTAGGCTGGGGGGGGGTTTGGTCCCATTTTTTGTGCCCCCCCTCAACTCCCCCACATTTGGGGGGGGTCCCCACCCCTCCCCATCCCCCCCCCCAAAATCGAGGCCTTTTTAGGGTGGGGGTCCCATGGGAATTCCCCCCCCCTCCCCCCCCAATTTCCCCGATTTTGGGGGGGGGTTCAGACGCTCTCGGTGCCCCCCCCCCCCCCCGGGGCTGGAATTTGGGGAGGGGGATTTGGGGGGGCTCTGGGGGCTCCTCCTCAGGCCTTTTTCGGGGGGGGGGCCAGTTTGATGATCTCCTCCTCCGAGGGCTGCCGGATGATGTCTGGGGGGGACACGGGGGGTCAGGGGGGCTGGGGGTGCTCCCCACCCACCCGGGGGTCCCCAAATCTGCCCGGGGGTCCCCAAATCTGCCCGGGGGTCCCCAACCCTTCCTGGGGGTCCCCAAATCTGCTCGGGTGTGCCCAGCCCACCCGGGGGTCCCCAAATCTGCCCGGGGGTCCCCAAATCTGCTCGGGTGTGCCCAGCCCACCCNGGTCCCCAAATCTGCTCGGGTGTGCCCAGCCCACCCGGGGGTCCCCAAATCTGCCCGGGGGTCCCCAAATCTGCTCGGGTGTGCCCAGCCCACCCAGGGGTCCCCAAATCTGCCCGGGGGTCCCCAAATCTGCCTGAGGGTCCCCACCCCACCCAGGGTGTCCCCAAATCTGCCCGGGGGTCCCCAGCCCTGCCCGGGGGGGTCCCCAACCCTTCCTGAGGGTCCCCAACTTTTCCCGGGGGTCCCCAACCCTTTCTGGGGCTCCCCAACCCTTCCTGAGGGTCCCCAACCCTTCCTGAGGGTCCCCAACCCTTTCTGGGGGTCCCCAACTTTTCCCGGGGGGTCCCTGTGCCAGCCCTGGGCAGATCGGGGAGGGGTCGCTGTCCCTGCCTGGGGACAATGACAGCCCCGGTGTCCCTGTCCCCATCCCGGCTGGCCCTGGCCCTGTCCTGTCCCTGCTGTCCCTGTCCCTGTCCCTGCTGTCCCTGTCCCAGGTGTCCCTGTCCCTGTCCCGGGTGTCCCAGCTGTCCCTGCTGTCCCTATCCCTGTCCCTGTCCCAGGTGTCCCTGCTGTCCCTGTCCCTGTCCCTGCTGTCCCTGTCCCTGCTGTCCCAGGTGTCCCCGCTGTCCCTGTCCCTGTCCCGGGTGTCCCCGCTGTCCCTGCTGTCCCTGTCCCTGCTGTCCCAGCTGTCCCTGTCCCTGTCCCCATCCCTGCTGTCCCTGTCCCTGTCCCTGCTGTCCCTGTCCCTGTCCCGGGTGTCCCTGCTGTCCCTGCTGTCCCTGTCCCAGGTGTCCCAGCTGTCCCTGTCCCTGTCCCCATCCCTGCTGTCCCTGTCCCTGTCCCTGCTGTCCCTGTCCCTGTCCCAGCTGTCCCTGCTGTCCCTGTCCCTGTCCCTGTCCCTGTCCCTGTCCCAGGTGTCCCAGCTGTCCCTGTCCCCGGGTCCCCTCTCACCCTTGTACTTCTTGGCGCTGGGGATGCGCGTGAGCTTGGTGTCCACCTCGTCCTCCTCGGAGATCTTGAGCACCTGCGTGCGGTACTGCACCACCTTGGTGAGCAGGTCGGGCCGGCGCGAGATCTCGAAGATGTGCTCGATGTAGGACAGGTTGTCTGTGACACGGGGACAGCGCGGGGACAGCGCGGGGACGCACACGGGACACACACGGGACACACATGGGACACACACGGGACACACATGGGACACACACGGGACAGACACGGGACACGTGCTGGGCTCGGGCCACCCGTGCTGTGGCCGCGGGGGCCCGGAGGGGACAGGGTGGGGACAGGAGAGGGACAGGGATGGAGACAGGGTGGGGACAGGGATGGAGACAGGGTGGGGAAAGGAGAGGGACAGGGATGGGGACAGGGACGGGACAGGCTCAGGGGACAGGGACAGGGACAGGGACGGGGACAGACTCAGGGGACAGGGGATGGGGACAAGGACAGGCTCAGGGGACAGGAATGGGGACAGGGACAGGGGACAGGGACAGGCTCAGGGGATAGGGATGGGGCAGGAATGGGGACAGGCTCAGGGGACAGGGACAGGGACAGGGACTGGGCTCAGGTGATGGG